CCCAGGCCATGCCAGCTGTCCTCTGTCCTGTAAGTGAGGCTTAAGGCCAAGCTCACAAAGAGCCTGTACCAGAGTTCTCCCAAGGGGACTCAGGTGGTCTCAGCAGGGACAGGAGTCAGGCTGGAGCCTCTAGCTGTAGTGCTGTGTGGAGGGAAATGGCATGAGGCAGCCAGAGTGGGCAGTGGGAGGCTGGAGGCTGTGCCTGGGGTGGTCGTGGGGACAGCTGGCTAGGGTTCCATCTACCGTGGCTCTCCCAGGTGCTCATGTCCAGAAGCCTGCTAGGCCCAGTTACTCCATAGCCCAAAAGGACATGGATGAGGTTCAGGGGTGCAGCTTAGTGCTATGGTGCTTGCCTGGCATGAGTGAGTACCAGGGTTCTAGCCCTAGGATTGTAAAACACATGAAAAACTGAAGAACGTGGATGTGACAGGCACGAGCGGGGGCTGTTCTGGTTTTTGTGCCTTGGTCTCCCCATGGCCACAGGGCCTTGGCTCCAAGCCAGGGTGACCAGGACTAGTGTCGGTACATGACTGTCATTCAGCGGCATCTCTGTGGGCACAGCCTCACCTTCAGTGCCCATGCTTGGGAGCTTGTGCCAGGTCTGTCTCAGCTGACCTAGTGTGGGAGGCTGGGCACTTGAGCATATGTGTCGGGGTCTCCTGACATTCCTTGGCTTTGGGTGGTGCTGTGTATGCTGATGGAGGGCAAGAGAGAGCTACAGCAGAGCTAGGTGTGGTGGTGACTGTCCATGGATGTCCTGATTCTTCATGTTGCTGCCCTTGGACTCCTTGTGAATGGAGGAATGAGGCATCATGGGAGACATGGGATGGGGTGGTGGGTGAAGACAGGGCTGGCTATCCTTGCCATGAGCTCAGGCCTGACCATCCTTTGCTTGTGCTGGGCTGCCTGCTGACCTCTTTACGTGGTCTCTTTGCCTCTGCAGTTTCCGCAACTTTGATGTGGAGGAGTCTCACCAGTGCTCCCTGGACTGGCTCCTGCTGGGCCCTGCAGCCCCGCCTCGCCAGGAGGCCTTCCGTCTCTGTGGCTCTGCCATCCCGCCTGCCTTCATCTCTGCCAGAGACCATGTCTGGATATTCTTCCACTCTGATGCCTCCAGCTCTGGCCAGGCCCAGGGCTTCCGCCTGTCCTACATCCGAGGTGAAGCTGGTTGCAAGGCAGGGCAGGGCAGGGACATCATGGAGCACCTCAGTGCATGGTGCATGGGCTTCTGGCTAGGGCAGCACTGTTCATGGTGCCCTGCTCCCTCAGGGTCTCTCCTGGCCAACCCTGTCTATCTTAAGTGTGTGTGTGTGGGGGGGTGTTGTCAAACTTCTGCTTCTGCACATCACCGATTGCCTTCATAGGTTGGCTAGAAGGGAGCTCACAAGCCTATGGTCAGGTCAGGGACTGAGCCCATCCTGGCATCCCAGGAGTCTCTCCCTGGTGTCAGTTGGTCCTTTCTCTTCCTGGGCCCTGCCTAGACCCAGCTGAGATGTTGATCTGCCCACACTTGGCCCCAGGTCTTGGTGCTGGAGGGGGCACCTTCTCTCCTGTGACTTCCCCCCTTCCCCGCTACCCATTTGCCCACAGGGAAGCTGGGCCAAGTGTCCTGCCAGGCAGATGAGTTCCGGTGTGACAACGGCAAGTGCCTGCCGGGCCCATGGCAGTGCAACACTGTGGATGAGTGTGGAGATGGCTCTGATGAAGGCAACTGCTCGGCACCTGCCTCTGAACCACCTGGCAGCCTGTGCCCAGGGGGTACCTTCCCCTGCAGCGGGGCACGCTCCACACGCTGTCTGCCAGTGGAGCGGCGCTGTGATGGCACCCAGGACTGTGGCGATGGCTCTGATGAGGCTGGCTGCCCTGACCTGGCATGTGGCCGGCGGCTGGGCAGCTTCTATGGCTCCTTCGCTTCCCCAGACCTGTTCGGCGCAGCCCGGGGGCCCTCGGACCTTCACTGCACATGGTTGGTAGACACACAAGATCCTCGGCGCGTGCTGCTGCAGCTGGAGCTGCGGCTGGGTTATGACGACTATGTGCAGGTGTATGAGGGTTTGGGCGAGCGCGGGGACCGCCTGCTGCAGACGCTGTCCTACCGCAGCAACCACAGGCCGGTGAGCCTCGAGGCCGCACAGGGCCGCCTCACTGTGGCCTACCATGCTCGTGCCCGCAGCGCTGGCCATGGCTTCAACGCCACCTACCAGGTGAAGGGCTACTGCCTGCCCTGGGAGCAGCCTTGTGGAAGCAGCAGTGAAGGGGATAGTGGTAGCTCGGGGGACCAGGGCTGCTTCTCAGAGCCACAGCGCTGTGATGGTTGGTGGCACTGCGCCAGTGGCCGGGATGAGCAGGGCTGCCCTGCCTGCCCACCTGACCAGTACCCCTGTGAGGGCGGCAGCGGCCTGTGCTATGCACCTGCTGACCGCTGCAACAACCAGAAAAGCTGCCCTGATGGTGCTGATGAGAAGAACTGCTTCTCCTGCCAGCCTGGCACCTTCCACTGTGGCACCAACCTGTGCATCTTTGAGACGTGGCGCTGTGATGGCCAAGAGGACTGCCAGGACGGCAGCGATGAGCACGGCTGCCTGGCTGCTGTGCCCCGCAAGGTCATCACCGCCGCCCTCATCGGCAGCCTGGTGTGTGGCCTGCTGCTGGTCATCGCCCTGGGCTGTGCCTTCAAGCTCTACTCCCTTCGCACGCAGGAGTACAGGTGGGTACTGCGCCATGGCTGGGAGCCTCAGGCCCCACATTTCCTTGAGAAAGGCCGCAGGCTCACTGTGCTCAGCTGTGGGTTCGCAGGTGGAGGCTTTGGCTGTCCACCTGGAGACAGTTCTTCTGCATGTAGGTCTAGATGTGTCTTGATGTCTGAGTAGGGAGGTGGGTTCCCCAAGTCTTGCTGCTGCGGCAAGTCCCACCCAACCCTGCCACCTTTCCTTCTGCCCACTGCTCTCAGGGCCTTTGAGACCCAGATGACACGCCTGGAGGCCGAATTTGTGCGGCGGGAGGCGCCCCCATCCTACGGCCAGCTCATCGCCCAGGGCCTCATCCCACCTGTGGAAGACTTCCCTGTCTACAGTGCGTCCCAGGTGAGCCGAGAGGATACCTGGGCTTCCTGATAGACCCCAGACAGCACCCAAGAGCAGGAGGCAGTGGAAGGAGGTGGGACTGCGTGCAGGCTAGGCCAGTTCAGGGGTCAAACCAGCCTCAGTGAGGGAGAGGTGAGGTCTGGGCAGGCTGATCTGGGGGGACACAGCTAGGTGGAGAGGCACAAGTTTATCCTTTGGGGGTGTGCTGACCTGAGCACCCCCTTATCTGTGGCCTCATCCTCCAGGCCTCTGTGCTGCAGAACCTTCGCACAGCCATGCGACGACAGATGAGGCGACACACTTCCCGCCGGGGTCCCTCCCGCCGCAGGCTCGGCCGTCTCTGGAACCGGCTGTTTCACCGGCCACGGGCACCCCGAGGCCAGATACCGCTGCTGACTGCTGCGCGCACCTCACAGACAGTGTTAGGCGATGGGCTCCTCCAGCCTGGACCAGGGGCCATGCCAGACCCCTCAGCCCCCTGCACGGACACAGGCAGCCCCAGAGCACCTGGGGATGGGCTTCCCAGTGCCCCTGGCCATGCACCAGACATGGGACCTTCAGTGCCCTTGCCCTCAGGCCTGCAAGACCCAGAGTACAGGGTTGTGGACAGGGACAGGAAAGCCTGCAGGGACCCTCTGGTGGACAGCCTGGCCACTGTGGATACAGCTCCTGAGTCTTGCTCAGCCCAGGACCCCCACCCCCAGGTTCCCACAGCCAGCAGCACCCAAGGCCCACACTCAGCAGAGCCACTGGGGGTCTGCCGGAGCCCCCTGCCACCCTGTTCCCCAATGTTGGAGGCCAGTGATGATGAGGCCCTGCTGGTCTGTTGACCCACAGGACATGCTGGTGACTGCCACAGCCCCGCTTTGTAACCAGGGAATACACAGTTGTTTCTACCCTGCCTCTGCGTCCTTTCTTACAGAGAGGCCAGCCCATGGCCCCAGGGGAGGAGCTGGGCCCTCAGCCAGCAGCTGTATCAGCATAAGGCACTCCTGGGTGTACGGGCCAGCAGGTGATGCAGGGGGCTGACTGGAATGATGAATGTGCCCCTGGGTCTCTGTGCACAGGCATCTTGGGGTCTTACTCCTAACCTTTCCCCAGTTCCAACCTGGGAGCCATTTCCAGAAAAGTGGGTGGGAGTGGACAGGGCTCCGTGGAGTGCTTTGTGTGGCTTCTTCATTCACCCCAAGGTGCTCCAGCTGCCTCATCCCTCCCCATCCATGCCAGGAGCTGTAGTGAGGAGTGAAAGGGGCTGGGGAGTGTTGGGCCTTGGCTGTGATGAGTGCTCTGTCCGCACTGAACCCTCCAAGCAGGGGCCCCAGGGAGCTGGGCTAAGAGACTTCTGCGCCATCCTCATGCCTGTGGTGGCCACATAGGCCTGGCTGGGCTGGTGCCCTTTGTCTTCTGGCTGCAGAGTCAGTCTTCCAGGCACTATGGCTGGAAATGAGGGCATGGGTTAGAGGACCCAGGACATGCTGTTCTGTGCTTTCGTAGGAGATCAAGGCCAGGGTTCTAGCCATCTGAGGTCAAGCCCATGCTATCCTGCCTTAGGGTCTTAGTTTCCACACAGTAGACCAGGGACAAGTGGCAGACTTTGATGTTGTGACATTTACTGTGGTCATTTCAGGGAAGAATGCTAGTCCTAGCCAGAAATCCTTGGACTCTCCCAAAGGAGCTGAGGCTGGTTGGCAAGGACAGATCTGGGTGAGGAGCTGCTTCCTCGTCTCCACTGTTCCTTTGGGGCAGGGTAACTTGGGGCCCTGTGGAGCCAGCTTTGGTTCAAGAGGCAAAGCCCCACAGTGCTGAGGGCCTCCTCAGCTGCAGCACTTTCTCAGCTAGTAGCACATGTGCCCCCACTGGAGTATGCCACCACCTGCCCCCATCTGGGTCCACCAGGGACTCTCCTGAGCACAAGCAAACAATCAGCCCTGTTTATTCGTAGGCCTTTTCAGGAAAAGCTAGCAGGGCAGTGCTAAGACAGGAAGCCGTGTCCACATTGCCAGGGCTTCCTTAGGACAGGCCTCTAAGAGTCCTATCTTTAAAAAAAAAAAAAAAAATTTTTGCAAAACACCTCCTCAATAAACAACATGTAAACAGAAACGGCTGCTTCGGTGTCTACAAACATCTCATTGTGACTTCAAGGACTTGTCCGTTGTGGGCAGTGGGGAGGGCTGGCAAGGGCCATTTTCCTCCTCCTCGAGGGAGCCCTGAGGATAAACCACGAAACACAGCTTCTGGCCCCAGCGCGTCATGGACTCTGAGGACAGACAGACAGACAGACAGGTGGACGTTGGGCCCTGTACCTGGGGACAGACACCCACCTCTAGGTACCACCCCTGGACAGGGGGCCTCAGAGAGCCAGTCCTGCTGCAGGTAGGCTGTGGCCACGTCTTGGGGAGCTGTATGGAGATGGCTGGGCTCTGTTACCCAGCCTGCTGCTGCTATGAGACCCTGCTCAGGGGCAAGACCCCATGCAGGCCCTGCTTCAAGCCCTGGGCTCTTCAGCGAGGCTCCGTGGCTCACCCGTGAGTCTGTGCACGCACTTTGGTTTGCTTCTCCAAAACACTCCCAGGAAGAAAATGGGCACCCCTGTCAGGATGATGATGATGCCGACCCCACAGACCATGGGCTCCGAGATGAAGCTGAAGACCAGTAGGAAGGCCCAGAACACCAAGTATGCCACAGGGATGAGCAGGTTCACCTGTGCGGGGCGGATGGAGACAGCCTGTGGCGCAGGATCCCCAGCTCTCCTGCCCCTCCACCCCCGCCCCACCCTCAAGGCTCTGGGGAGCGTCTTCCCTTTTTTAGGAGCTGGGACCCGCCAGGGCCCCCCTGTGGCAGCAGCTGGGTGCGCAGGCAGTGAATTCTTCATGGGTTGACTGGTTGGCAGAATTGTTCAGGGTTTGCTACTTTCCTCTGCTCTGAGCTAGCTGCACAAGGCAGTTGTATACAGACTTGCTTTTGCTTGAGGTCAAGGACTTTTTGGTATTTCACATTTCAAGCCCCCCCAGCACTTTTCCATTTCAGGTCTCATATGCAAATAGAAGGTTGGGTTTTGTTGTTGTTGTTTTGTTTTTCTTTCCTCCTTCCCCAATACTGAGACTTGAACTCAGGACCTTTGCACTGAGCTACATCCCAGCCCTTTTTATTTTTCACTCTTGCCAAATCATTAAGTTGCTTAGGCTGGGCTTGGCTTATGGTCTTCTGATTTCCTGTGTGATCTAGAATTCTGGCTGTGTCTCTGGCAGGCTGTGTGACCTTGAACAAGTTTGGCCTCGTTTTGCCTAACTCTAGACTGGGAATTTTCCTTAACTCTAGACAGGGACTGTCCTCAGAAGGTTGTTGGGAGGAGTGAATGTGTCAATGTATCTAAAGCCCAGCACTCAGCAAAAGCTGCAGTCACTGTCACTGTTGTCATCCGTCCCTGTCCCTGGTGCGTGGTGTAGATGAAGGGGGGCACGTGAGCCAACTTGTCTGCTCAGGGCCTCACCTTGATGGGTCTATGGAGCGCCGGCCGCCTCCAGCGCAGCACCAGCAGGCCCAGGATGGTGACTCCGTAGCAGAGGTAGTTGATGAAGGACACATAGTTGATGAGCGTGTATGTGTCTCCCACAAGCATGATGACCGCTGTAGCCCCGCACTGGGAGAGGACCTGAGGCTGACAGCTGGCCTCACCCTGGGGGGTAAGGTGGGTCCCAGCCAACTGTCCCCCTCCCTCTATGTGCTGCCCATCGCAGCCAAGAACTCATCCCTATCACTACCCAGAATGTCCTATATTACTGGGGGACCCTGGATTCATGTCCTGCTTAGCCCCCACCAACTTACACAGACGAGGAGGGCAGGGATAGGGGTGCAGTGTTTGACATGGATCATGGCCAGCAGGCTGGGAAGGTGCCCCTCTCGGGCTCCAGAGAAGCACAGCCTGGGGGTAGGGACAGAGACAGATGCCGGTAGGGGCCATGAGCCTTCCTGCCAGCTAGATCCTGGATCTCAGCTCTGGACCTGACGTCTCTCTTGAGTCATCATCCCTAGATCATTTGATCCAGGCCCCAGAAGCCCAACGGGACAGCGATTCCCTCCAGCTTGCCTCCCTCTTGCTTTCTTCACCTTAGTGTTGGGATCAGAGCTTTGTTACTAGCAAGTCATGAACGAACCCAGACTTTCCCTTCCTGTGGTCCTCAGCACCGTTCTCGCATGCCAGGGCACCTGGTGGGCTGCACCATGCCACCCTTCCCCAGCCCAGTCACCTGGAGGAGGTGAACAGGTAGCCATTGATCCCTCCAAAAGTGGAAAGTGCCACGGAGACAGGCATGACCCAGGAGAAGTAGCCCAGCAGCTTCTCCCCAAAGGTCTGTGAGCACACAAGGAAGGCTGAGGTGAGGCTAGCATGGTAGGGCAGGGGCTGGGGTCGAGGCGGGGTGTCCCCACTTACCACGGCCACTGCATTGGAGGCCAGCAGCTCTTGTGGGGACATGGCTGTGAAGTAGGCGACGTTGGTGAACGTATACACGAAGGTGACCAGAGGGATAGAGATGAAGATGGCACGAGGTAGGTTCCTGGGGACGGGCAGAGGATGTCAAGGTCAGCCCCTCATGGGAGGGGTGGTGATACCCAGCAGCAGGAGCAGCTTGGAGTCTCTATCTCCTGTGCTGGCCTCCAGGAGAACACTGCTCCCTACCTTCCCCCCATCCCACCCGAGCACAGGCTGGCAAAAGGAAGGGCAGATGAGGGAGGAGAGAACACTATCCCGAGAGGAAGATTTAATGAATGTCTATATAAAGAGAAAACTGTGTAAAGCCAAAATCAGCCTGGAAAATCTCCCAAGTGTCCATAGAGACCAGTCTGCAGGTCTGGGGTCTCCTCTGGAGCTTCCCATCCACTCAGGCCACTTGGCTGCGAGAGTTCCCTGTCAGACCTCTGGTTGAGCATTGGATGGAGTCATTGGCTTCAGCTGGGGGGACCATGTTGCATGCGTATGTGTAACTTTGGGCCAAATGCAAATTATTAGATGTATCTCAGAAGGGTAACCATACTCAGTAAGGGGCTCAGAGGCATCTACAGCCTCCCCGATCAGGGCCAGGCTTGCACACCAGCATTCCTGTTCCTTTCCAGGGTCATTCCCATGGCAGCAAGTGAGCCCTGCTGAGTGTGAGTCACAGGCAACCCTCATCTGTGTATATAGGCTGCTCTTCCTGGTGCTTGGCTGGGTGCCCCACTCACTTTCGAGGGTCCACCAGTTCTTCTGTGACATAGTTAAGGAAGTTCCAGCCACTGAAGGCAAAGGAGCCCTGGAGAAAGGCCAGGGCCAGGTGACCCACAGATGGTGTCATCCAGAAGGCAAAGGCACTGCTGGGTCTCAGCTCCTCAAAGTGTCCTGGAGGTCCAGACATCAGGGATTAGTACAGTCTTGCCAGCCTTGCCTACACTCCCACCCTGGCCCTACCTTGAAAGATCTGAACAAAGCCAACGCCAATGATGATTGACAGGGCCAGCAGCTTCCCGCCTGTGAAGATGTCCTGGATGCGTGTGGCCCAGCGCACACTGGAGCTGTTGACCCATGTCAGGAGCACTGGGGAGGGAAGGGCACGTGAGGCTGAGACAGTGAGGTCCAGCCCAGGCGGCTAGAGAAGGACATCTCCTGTACCAGCCTTGATATGTGAACCCCAGGTGCTGAGACTGATGTTGTAGGGGTGGGTGGCTGGGGGGTGTCCCACCCAACTGTCTCTGCACCCAGGGCTGAGAGCAGGGTGGGTTGGGCCAGTTGGCTGCTCTGGGGACAGAGGTCCAGCCAGGGGCCTCCTAGGGACTCACTCAGGCAGGCCATGGAGAGCACTCGGGAGGCTGTCGCAGGGGGAATGCAGTTGGGAAACACAGGCTGCAGCACATAGTTGGAGAAGGTCATGGAGATCACGGCCAAGCTGGTGGGGTACATGATAAGCACAGCACTCCAGAGCAGCAGAAATCTGGAAGGAGCAAGGGCTAGAGTGGCACAGGCTTTCCCAGCTCACCCAGCGACCTGGTCCAGGGTGTGGGGAGCTGGGCTGTGTTGTGACCAGCACTGAAAGCTAAGGAGGCAGAAATGACCTTGGGCAGGTATTAGGAAGGATGTGAGGACCAAAACACCCTTCCTAATGAGCATCTAGACCCCCTGACCATGGGCTGTATCCACACCAGGGTGGGTTGTCCTGGACCTGGAGTCATGGTTTCAGCCTTGGCTCCCAGCAGAGCCTATGGCTCAGGATAGTTGATTCTGAGCAGGTGCTCCAAAGGAGAGAGTCTTGCGGTGTGCACAGTGGACCTTGCAAAGGGCCCTGGCTATGGGAGGGGCATGATTTATGCTCAAGGTATCAGAATCTCGACTATGCAGGAGATCCATGGGGCTGGGGGCTGTGTGCTGGTCCCGGGGGAGGGTCTTTTTTTTTTTTTTTTTAAGTGAAAAATCTTTATTGCGAAGTTTCCTGTGGTGACACTCCCTCCTGAGCTGGATCCTGGCTACGGAGGCTGAGGCAGGAGGTCACAGGTGAGCCATAGCCGGCACCTTGGTGAGACCTGTCTAGAAACTTTTCTCAAGGACTGAAAACACAGCTCAGAGCAAGCGCTCTGGGTTCATTCTCTTGTTAACAAACAAACATACAAACAAACCTTCTATGCCAGATACGATGATCATTAAAATTTAGTACAGCTTTTAACGGTGTCCAGGTAATAACATTCCCTTTGCTGCACCAGCAGAGCTGTCGAATGCCCACCCTCCGGGGGAGGGTCTTTCCTCAGGGTTGGTCCTAGCTTCTGGGCCACCACTGAGGACGGGAATTGTATTAGGGACACAGCAGCTTCTGGGTCACTGACTTCAGTGGGCTCCTGTTGGCATTCAGTCTTTGCATGGCAGCCACTTCCCCCACCCCTTAAAGGCACTCCATCCCTAGCCCCTTGGTTTCTGGAATATTCTCAAAAATCCTCCCTGTGGATGCCCCTGGGGTAGGTACTAGTTTTCCTCTCTCACCTTCTTCCAAGCATCCTCTCCAGGCCCATAGTGTGGTTGTTCTGCTTTCTAGAGACCCAGCCTCTCCTCAGAGGCAAGTAACCATGGGTCCACACTCAAGGCTGCTCAGCTCAGGGTCCTTAGCCCACGTCCCTCCATACCGATTCTGTGCGCTGCAGCCTGAACCTGCCCTCCAAACTCCAGACATTCCACCATGCCCTCACCAAGCACTGCTCCAGATATGCCGCAGACCCAACAAACATGAGAACCCCTACGTAAGGTCTCTTTCTCTATAGGGCCTCTGAAGTGGGCCAATGCTGCCCTCTCCCGACTGCACCCACCTCACCCTCATGCCATGCTGGCTACCACATCCCAGATGAGGTTCTTGAATGATTTTGGATTCTGCTTGTACTTCTGAGGTCCTTGGGAGGACTTGTGGGGCAAGAGTGTCAATCTCCAAGCCCTGCTGCCTGCTGTGACCCAGACCACAGCAGGCAGACCGTGCCGGCCCCACCCATCGTGGCCTCTGTCCGTGCACCCATCAGCTTGGAAGGAAAATCTTATGCTTTTTGCAAGGCTTGGCAGAGACAGTTTTTTTGTGGGAACCTTCCTGAGGTGCTGGGTGCTTGGTTCTCTGCTGTGTGACTGCTGACTCTGGTACACATCCCCAAAGCAAGGATCTGCTGGCTTACATCATGTTTGAGGAGCTGTTTCTCTGCTCTATGAGCAACATTGGAGTAAGAACAGATCTTTTTATCATGGCATCCTAGTCTTTAGCCCAAAGTGGGTGCCTAGCAGGTGCTGATGAGTGATGGGAGGGGGGTCAAGAGGAGGGGGAGGGCGGGAGGAAAGGACAAAGGATTAGGAAAAAAAGAGATTGGAAGGGAAAAACTGGGAACAAAGTCTTTGTAAATGGGGATGGGAAGAAGCATTGAAGGGAAGGAAGGGGAATGGAAAGAAAAGAATTAAGACGTATCATGTACAGGTGCAAATTCCTATGATGAATGTTTGACAAATATGTGCTAATAAAGCAAAGAAATTGATTTAAACTTTAAAAAAAATAGAAAAAATGCCAGGGAGCTGTGTAAAGGGGTCCTCTGGAAGGGGCCTTGGCCTCTCCCCCTGCTCATGCAGCAGTTGGGTTTACTGTAAGAGAGGCTCTCCTGACCTCGGTGCTAGCTTGTCTAAAGGCTTCAGAGAAGAGAAGCCTCCCTCCTTCACAAGCACCCAGGTATGGGCTCAAAAAGAGCTCTTTCAAAGGGACACAGGTGAGCATAGCTGCCTTCTAAGCAATGCACTGGGGCTGGGGAGATGGCTCAGTAGAATAAGCACTTGCCTGGCAAGCACAAGGGCCTGAGTTCAATCCCCAGTTCCGGAAAAAAAAAAAAAAAAAAGGGACACAGACAGGTTGAGGAGCCAGCACATATAGGTAGAGTGGGACAGGCATTGGTGCCACCCACCTTGGCCTTGCACGGCACCCCACCCACTCCTTCCATTCATTCTGGTGACCTCCCCTTGATGATAGAAGCAGAAGGGGAAATGGAAGCCCACTGCCCAAAAGCCATCCTATTGTGGAGAAATTGTCCCCTGCCCCAAGCCCCACACTCACCCAGCCAGGCCCCCGAAGATCTCTGTGACGTAGGCGTAGTCCCCGCCGGACTTGGGGATGGCAACTCCCAGCTCTGCATAGCAGAGGGAGCCCAGAGCTGTCACGCCCCCACCCAGGACCCAGACGAAGAGGGCCAGACCCACGGAGCCTGAGTGCTCCAGGACACCTTTGGGTGAGATGAAGATGCCCGAGCCAATGATGTTCCCTGCAAGGGAGAGATGGGAGGCATCAGGCCTGGTGTCCTCTGCAGCAGCCCAGCCTTCTCTGTGGGGCCTGGATGCTGCCTTGAGAAAGGAAGCCTGGGTACTTTCTGGGGGAGCAGAGGGTGGTGGGCCTCTAGCATGGCAAATGGCAGCTTGTCCAGCCAACCAGGCTCTCCTGCTAGAAATGGGTTCTGAGTTCCTCTGGTCTCCCTCCTCCCCTGCCTGAGGTGGAGCTGGCAAGGTATGGGGGTCCAGGTACCTCAACAATGGCAGTGTGTCCACTCCTGAGTGTCACCATGTTGCCCAGGCTCAAGGACCCCAATCTTGTCAGCCTCTAGCCACCTGTCCTTCCTGTAACCTGGTGACCAGAGTTGGCCTCCTGAAGCGAGACCTTGACCACACTCTTGCCTGCCACTCTCCTATGGCCAGAGGCTGGACTTGTAGGGCAGCTCCTCCATAGAACCTCTCTTGATTGCACCTGGTGTGGCCTCCTCTGCCCAGGTCACAGCCCTGCTCTATACTTGGTTTCTTTGTCTTCTGTCTCTCCATTCCCCGTCAGGCAGCTTTTCTCTCACCTGGAACCCAGTCTGTGGACAGGGACCCTAAAGAGACCTTGTTTCCTGGTCTCAAGTCCTAGGAAGGGCAAGTAAAAGACTAGTGAATTTTTAGGGCTGGATGTTGTCAGCAGGGGCAGGGCAGGCAATGACATCCTGGCAGAGACTCTAGCCAGCCAGGAGCCTGGACGGAGTGCTGCTCTCCTTGGGATGCCCCCAATCGCACAATGTGAAATTCCTGCTGAGGCCTGGGGCCTGTTCCTGCTCACCTCTCCGATTCTGTATGTAAGGTGGTCTGGCCGTAAGGGCCCAGTGAGATACAGTGTGAAGCCCAGGCTCACTCACAGCTGTCGTAGAGATGGGCCTGCAACATACTTTGGGTGATTCTGCGTACACTGTCTCACCAGCAGGTGGCGACGACACCAGCCCGCAGTCACCTCTGCTCCCAGCACTCTTGCTGCATGGCCCCAGAAAGCACCAGTTGAGTAAACTCACAGACAACTCAGTCCGCCCAGGAAGCAGCATCTAAGCTTGAGATGCTTCATCTCCTTGCCTGTGAGGTGGGAGTGGCAGGTTCTATTCAGGCCTTCTGTTGAGGGGACGGTGAGGAGGAGTGAAGAGGTGGCAGGCTACGGAGGTTCCATGCGTGTGGATATGCTGTGGTTCTGGAAAGCCTGTCCTATTTCCAGGGCAAGGACTCATCCTTCTGAGAATGCAAAGATGGGGTTCAAGTGTTCCCCATGTAGATCCAGGGCATCTGGGAGTGGAAAGGGAATGCACTTCTCTGGTCCTCAAAACAACAGGAAATGTTCAGGAGGTCAAGTCACAGTTTGCAGGGCCCTTAGCACCAGTGAGCCCCAAGCTCTCCAGTTATAGCAAAGCAGGGCAGTGACCAGGTTACACAGCTGTCATCTGGGCAATTATTCAGGTACCCAGACAGGATATCTGCCCTGGGGTCTGCTGTGGGGTGAGGACAGCATCCCAGACCCACGGGCTATGTGGATAAAAGAGCCAGCACTGGTGGGGCCTGGACAAGTTACATCCCCACCTGGCAGAACCCTGGGACCAGGTCACACGGCCATCGGAGCAGAGGCTGCCTACTCCACCTGCCAGGCCACAGGCGGGGCTGGATGAGGACACAACTGTGGCTGCCAATCTGCATTCGCTCCTTGTCCATGGTGCTACCCACCCCCAGTCGACACAGATTTTCAGTCTGGAAGGTCACTTGGCTTTCTGGTCACATCCCAGGAGCCCTAAATACATCCAGATAAGGATGAAAAAAGTCCTGCGCCCCAACCCTCAGAGGTAAGCTTTGTCCTCAGTCCATTGTAGCGGGGCAGGGATAGGCACCACCTTCTGCATCTACCACAAGGGACCAGGGCCTGGGTGGGCTGTTGGGCTTCCAAAGAGCCTTTGAGTTTGCTCCATCCGGCAGCCGTTCTCAGGACCTGGCGAAGCAGGATTTGCCAAAAGCCAGTGAGGTTGGAAGCCAGCGGGGGCTGGGTGGCCTTGGAAGGAGCTGGACATGTTGGAGGTAGGGGCATCCAGGGCCCCAAGCCACCCACCCTGTGGAGGTACCACTTCCCTACACAACTCAGCCTGGTGGGCTCACACAGGCATCACTCTTGGGGAAGTCATACCTGACACCCTGTCTTCTGGAACTGGGGTCTGAAGGGCGCATCACTAGCTCTGTGCCAAGTGGCTGAGACCTGGATGCTGGGCTCTGGGGGGCAGGGAGCACCCCTGTTGTTCTGGACACATGGCCTCCAGCTATCATTCAGCGCTTCTCCCCATGTGGCTCCAAGGACCTCATGTGCTAGCCAGTGCCTAAAGTCCTCAAGAGCCTCTTCCTCTGGACCTGCACAGCTTCAGCACTTGTCCTCAGTGTGTGCTTACGGTTGGCAGAAGGACCTCATTGCAAGCCCTCGCATACCACTCTGGGCACTGTGTGCATGTCTGGGGTGGGGGTTTGGTTGGTGGCAGAGGATGGGAGGAAGGAGGGAGGTTGCTCAGGACAGAGCTGGATCCTGAGGCCTCCACATTCCCATCCACCCAATGGGACAGGTGTTGCCTGGTCCTTGCAGGTTGTCCCAGGTGGCCAGAGAGGCAAGTACATGAGTTCCCCCACTCGCAGGCCTCTAGCGAGTCTCTACTTCCGGCCCCGTTTCCTTGAGCCTTTACTGGGTGATTTTTTTTTTTTTTTTTTTTTTTTTTTTTTTATCACATTAAGATGTTTGGCCTGATGGGGCTTACCCCGGCTCCTCGGAGGAATGAAGAAAGGGCCATTGTTCCCTGTGCCTGCTGCAGGGCATGCTGACCTATTTTTAGGTGGTGGCAGCGGACTATGGAGGTCACAGAGGTGGACCATGGAGGTTGATTGAGCAGGCAGAATGAGCCACCTGCCAGGGATGTGTGCAGGGGTTGTGCCTGTCTCATTTGGGGAGAGATAGGGAGGTTCAGGTAAGTTGGGACACTGGCATCCCCTCCACCCCAAGACACACATTTGGGAGTTGGCTCTGTGACCTCAGGCCAATGCTGCCCTCCTGGGCCTCAGTTTCCCCATTTACCAGGTGAGATTATTTGGCTAGGGGGCAGCAGAGAGCTGGTCTGAGCCTGGCTTCCACAGGCAGGATGCACTCTGTTACATTGTACTATATCTGTGACAATCTGCTCAGGGTATCCTGTCCCCCACTGTGGTGGGCCTCTCCTGGCCTCCCCCCTACCCCAGGGAGATATCCTTGACCACCCACCTAGGAATCTCCTGCAGTGGCCCTTGGAGGATGGTCAGGAAGGGATTCCTTTAGTTGGCGCTGGCACACTTTGACCCTGTCTGATCCATTGTGGGCCATGAGAGGTGCTTATGGACCTCACTACTGTTTCCACCACGGACACCCTCTAGGCCGTCCATATTTGTAGACCTCATTTTCTTAGGAACTCAACACCTTGGGGTGAGCAACTAGAATACTACTATGACATGGGTGGGGCCTTCCTCAAGCACAAACATGTCCTCAGGTCCCCTCAGTAAGCCTGTGTACCTCCCAGGGAAGACTGATATGCCCACCAAGGTCTTGGCAGAACCACAAGGAGGTGAGTGGGAACACTCAAGACATGCCTGGAATTGCTAACTGGTTGGTGTGCACCTCTTGCTTTGCTAGTTTTCCTTTGGAGAGAGGGGCTGAGTACAAGAGGGTCGTACTCTCTGCCTGGCTTTCTTGGACCTCTTCCACATAGCCCAGAATGCATGGCCAGCACCGCATCCATCCCATGGTTGCATTGTCATGGTTGCCATGAGCAACATGTACCGAGTCCACCAGTCAAGCTCTAGCTTGCACCTTCTGTGGCTCATGTGGCATGTGCAGCGTGGTCAGTCCCCCTTCCCTCAGTCTCCTGGCCTCCCTCTTACCTTGCTCATGACTCCTTGGAATTCTTTGCTGCTGCTTTTTCTTGCCTGACTTCTAAATGTTAAGAGTCTGGGGTTCTATCCTGAGGCATCTTTCCCTTTCTTTCTCCAGTTGCTCCTTTGGAGGCTTTTGCTAATAGCTCGTAAATTTCTATACCTAGTATAGACATCTCACCTAACTCATAACCACCAACCAAATAGACACTGAACACTTAAAAGCATTCAAATGAAATTCTTGCTACTGCTCTTTCCCTGATTGCTACTCTGCCAGCTTCTTAGATCAGTCCACATCAAACCATCCTCCCAACTGCTCAGGCCATGATGGTGTCCCCTGGACCCCTCTCATTCTCCCACAGCCCACATCCAGCTCGTTATACACCCTCTAGCTCTACATTCCAAACATGTCTAGAACTGAACCACTGTCAGGACCTCCTGCTGCTACCCTGGCCCAAGCCATCACTGCCTTGTGTCCAGGCGGCTTCCTACCTGGCCTTTCTACTCTCAGCCTGCCCACACAGCCTCTCCATAGTAAGCACACAGTCAGTCCTGTCCTGTCCTTCCTTTGGTCAAAGCACTACATGGGCTCCAACTTGCAGTCCCCTTGCAAAAGCCAAACTTCATCCTCTCCCCAATGTATCTCTGACCTACAGGCCTCCATCATCAGCACTCCGGGTCCTCCTTATAGTCCTGCTGTCTGGTCTCAGCACTTATCCTGACCTGGTGATTGCATACTTGGCTCATTTATCCTGCTTGCTACTCAGCTTCTGTGCTGGAACTCAGCTTTAGGGGGAGAGGGAGTTATCTGCTTTGTGCCCTATGGGGGACAAGGACTTAGATCTAGACCTGCACCTAGATCAGTGCTCAGCACTGTCAAATAGATGAATGTGTCATCTATCATGGTAACTCAAGCTGCCCTGGCCTCCAGGTGTGTCCTACAGCACCCCAAGTCCATCTGCTCCTAAGCAGGTTGCAGCCTAGGTTCTTCAGTTTCCTTATCTATAAATGGGATGAGCTGTGGTGTAGATAGATGTCTTCTCAGGGTCCTGGAGCTGGAGTTCCCCAGAGGTCCAACCTCTCCTAGATGCCCAGCCACCCCCAGCCCCAGAGGCCACAGACAGGGACCCAGCTGAAGACGCATGAGCAATGGTTGCTCCCGGAAAGAAGGGTTCATAAAGGAGCCACCTGAGTCTCTGGGACATCTGTAAAGCTGGAGACTTGAGTTAGATGGAGAGGTGAAAGAAGAGCCGGGTCAGCAGGCCCAGGGTGACCCCACTCTGCATACATAGGCCTGTCCCTTTCCTGGTTGTGGACTGTGTGAAGAAGTTGGCTAAGATCCAGGAGGCAGGATGAGAGAGGCTGTGTGTCCCATCACTGGGGAAGGCTGACTTCCTTGACAGTCTGTTTGTGCCTTCACAGCAGAGGAGGGACCCCGGTCTATGTGGATGGCTGAGTTTCCAACTCAATCCCTAACCTTCTTGCACTATAGGTTCTGAGTCTGGCCCCAGTTTTGCCCAGCACAAGAGCACTATGGAAGGTACTCTACCGAGAGCCGACTCCATATTGGGTTCTGAATTCCAAGCCCACCACTTGCAGCAGTTTCATTTAACTTCCAGCCTCAGGTTGTATATCTGCATAATGTGCATAAACATCATCATCTTCTAAAAGAAACATGAGAATCAAAGGAAGAAAGAGCATGTCCTCATAAGCAATACGAGGTGTTTTCCTGAGCATCACTAGGGCCAGCGGTGCTGTCCTGCACATCCCTGCCCCTGCCAGCTCTCCTCCCTCCAACTTGGCCTCCTCTGCTGCAGCTTTGCACTCCAGCAAGCACTGTCTTCAACACAGTCAAAGGTGGAGTCTTGCTTCTGCCAATAGCCAGGCTTCCCCTATCTCTCCATTCCTGGAAGTCTCCCTCCTCAGCCTGGGAGGGGGCAAACATTATAATGAGTGACAAAATGATAGGCTCTTCTGGGACTATTTAGAAATTCTGGTACTAAATAAGGATAGATTACGGGGCTGGATATAAAGTTCTGAAGATCTGTAATGCTAAAATATGACACTTTACAGACTGCTTTCGACCAGGTTTCCCACGATGGGATGAAAGTGAGCTCACCAAGGAGCTGAGGTTGGGTGGGATGGGCATGGTGGTTCCCCAGAGCAGTGGGTGGAGAGGGGAGTCCTGGAGGGGGTCAGGTGGGGAGGGCAGTGATCATCTGGCCCTCAGCTTCATCACATTCTAGATGAGGATGAATGGCCCTTGGTCCAACACGTAGTTCTGTCTCCCCCCAGCTGTAACCCTCAAACTTCCCGGAGCTGGGCTCCTAGGACTAGCACTAAAGGTCATGAGCTGAGTGTCAGGTCATCTAGGTTATGTTTTCAAATCCACCAGCCGTAGTTGGCTGAATCGCTTTTCACCCTAGCTCAGACTTTAAGGTCTGGAGGCCAAGGGGAAGCGGTGAAGCAACAATGGGCTGAAGGGTGAAGGAGCTGATGGGACACATTTGGGCTGCAGGAGAAAAAGTCTTTCAGGACCCATCCTAGAGAAAAAGTATGATGGTGGAGCTTGCTTTTCCCTTCCCCCTGCCACCAGGGCCCTCTTCTGGAGGGCTGGAAGCTTGGCAGCCTCTGCCTGACCTGAGGTGAATGGGATGTGAAGGGTGTGCAGGGTAGGACAAGCTTAGGGATGCTAGGCTCCACTGAGGCAGTCCAGGTGGAGCTGTGTCTCCCTGCCCCTGACTGGCACGCAGCCAGCTCCAGACCCAGTCTGTCTCTTGACCTCTTGGCTACCAATGATGTGTGAGCTACTCCTTCCTGGGGCACAGGGGCCCCAAACCAGCCTTTCCTTTCAGCAACAGCCAGGCAAGTCACCCAGACCTGGAAGCTCCAAGGAGCAGAGCAGCTCCTAAGAGATGCCATTCTGGGAGGAATGGGGGAGACAATGCAGTCACCCAACCAGGGCTGTATTCCTGGGCCACTCGCAGTGTGAAGGTACAGCATGGCTGGTAGACAGACAGTAGCTCTGGCCCAGGAGCTTCTAATATGGAACAGAGCAGGAGAGGGTGGAGACTCGGCTCTGTAGAGCCCCAGTGTTCTCCATGTCCAGGGCTCTGAGAGTGGGTGACAGTATGTGCACAGGCAGCTCCTGCTAGCTAGGGAAGAACAGCTGGGGCTCCAGATGTTCACCCTCCCACCCCCATCTTCTGGGCACAGGGGACAGAAAAATGTCACTTCTAGGAGGTTCAGAGCAACTTGGTATGGGTTAGTCCAGCTACCCAGGAGTCACTGTTCCTGACTTGGGACAGAAGGAGAAAAATCTGTTCTGAATTCTCTCCCTGCCCAGAAGCCCTTAGGTGGAGGCTGAACACACAGGCCCATCTCAAGGGGGAAGCTGGGATCTGACAGCTCAGCCCGCTGATATCCCAGCTAGGGGCAGGCAGTCCTGCTCACCACTGCCACGGAGTTACTGGTTTTTCTTCTCCCTCTCCTGGACCTGCAGCCACGTTTAGGCAGGGTCTGAACCCAGGTCCCATCTGTACAGGCTCCACCTGCCAGGCTACCCATAGTCCTTCCTGCTTTCCAAGAACAATCCTGGCAGGTGCATGACTCCTAGGCTAGCACACAGTAGGGACTCAAGCCCACTCATAGCCCATCACTTGCTAGGTTCCCGCCCTGCTGTCAGGACTATACTCATTATTTCCATTTCTTAGAAGGGACATTTTGCCAAAGTCCCACAGGAAAGTAAAGGAGGAAGATTCTGAGGTGGAGGAAACCAGCACTCCCCAAAGGGAAAATGTTTAGTGTGGTTGGGAGTACAAGAGCTAGAGGCTGTGCAGCTGGCACCTGTGGAGCGTTCCGGTCAGCATGCGGGTCATGCGCGGTCCAGGACGAACACAGGGCGCAGGTGATCGCCCCCGCAGTCCAACCCTCGCACACCGGCAGAAGCGCTGGAGAGGGGGCGTCCTTTGCTCTCAGCCTTTGGCCCTGCCACCCCTCTTCCCCTCTGCCCCAGGCCTTGCTCACCAATGATGATGGTGCAGGCACTCAGCAGCCCGATCTCCTTCTTGAGTGCCACCCGTTCTGAGACGCCGGGGCCCGGGCCCGGGCCGGGGGAAGGCGAGGAAGCAGGGCCGGGGTTCCTGCGCCCGCTAGGCTGCTGGCTGTGGCCCTTCATGTCGCCGTCCTGCCGATACCCAGCTCCCTGCGCTGCCCCGTTTGTCAGGCCCGCCGCCAGTTCGTTCATCCGTCAGTCTGTCTGTGCGCTCCAGGAGCTCGCAGCCCGGACAGCGCCCACAGACGGGGCGCATGCGCTGGCGCCAGGCCCGGACCCCCGGCCCGGCGCGATGCTGGCCAGGGAGGCGCGGAAGGAGGCAAGGCCGGCACCCCCTCCCCCACGGCCCTTAAAGGAGACGACCCTATCCCCAGTTCTCTCCTGGAAAGGGAAGAGCGGACTCCAAGTGAGCGAGGGGATTTAGGAAAAACTTTCCAGTTGAGCTAGAGAAGGGCCCTCCCGTTGTCTGGGTTGTCTTTATTACATTCAGTCGGGGCGGAGACCATAGAGCTCAAACACGACACGGTTCCTGCCCTTAGGGAGGCTGAGGAAGGCTGCAATAATAGGTTGTTCGGGTATGGGGTACCCACTGTAGCCCACACTTCCAGAGACTTTCAAGCCCCGGCCAGGGACGCAAACATATTTTAAACTCTCGATAATGAGCTACATGTCTGGATCCTTTGTTTTTTGCCCTTCGAAATTTGAGACAGGATCTCATTAAGTCACACAGGCTGAACTAGAGGTTTCGATCCTTCTGCCTCAGTCTGCTGTAGCGCTGGGCCCATAGGCGTGGACCAACAGGCTCCACTGCCACAAACTTTCTGATGCCTCCTCCTCCAGGGGAGCTGGCTCCTTGTGAGAGACAGCTGTAGGCAGGATTGTGCACTCCACAGAGGTGGTGGGGTGTTGATCTGGAGACTTAAGCACCTGTGATCAAAATCCTGGTATGTGTGCACGTGGGGGAGGGGGACGGGGAGAGAGAGTGCGCGTGAGGACCTGCAGTCCCGGATCCTTACCAAGGAGGAACGAAAGGCCACGAGGGAATTTTGGGCAGCCCCCACCCCCCGCGCCCGCCCCGGGCTCTGGCCTGTGTCTGGCTTCAGGTCCCGTCCACAGACTCCGTGGCCCGGGTCAGAGTCAGCAGCAGACTAGGACTTTGGCACAGGCTCAGTGCACCGACCCAACTCGAGGTGGCCAGGGTACTGGAAGTGCCCGGGAGACCTCGAGAAGAGGGCTGTGCAGATGGGGAGGAGGCCGCCGCCTCCCAGAAGCCTCCTGGATTGTGTGGCCAGACCCGCGGGACAGACGAGGGGGGCCTCATTGGGGCCACCAGGGCGGCGGGCGGGGTGAGGCTGGCACGGGGCGGCCGTGGCGGAACAGCCTTTGTCTCTTCCTGGCGGCCGCGGCGACGCGTCGTCCCCTGCATGTGGATGAGGCCGGGTCTTCCCCCCGAACGCGGCCTCTGGGTTTGCTGGGGCCCAGCCGGGTGCGACAGCCGCGGGGCGATCGGGGCTAGGGCGAGGGACAGGGGTGGGATCCTGGGCCGGGCGGAGCAGGGATTGGGCTGTGGCGGGAGGCGGGCACCCGGCGGGCAGGGGAAGAGAACCTCGAAGTATGGAGGAACCTGAGCGCAGCAGTGGAGCTGGGAAGACCCAGGGTGGACGTGCCGGGGGAACGCGGAAGGGGAGGCCACCCGGAGAAGTTTCATCCTCCGTGCGCCGGTCCTGTCGTCGGAGCCCGACATTCTTGGCGACCTGCGCTTCCTGTCCCAGAGACGCATTCAGCTGCCGGCTCTCTTAAAGGAGCCTCGCGCAGGGTCGGTCGGGTGGGGAAGCAGCCCCAGCCCGGAGCTGGATGATCACTGCAGGTGGTTGGGACCTGGGGGGGCCTCAGCCTTTTCTGGTTTTCCTCTCACCACCCGGTTGCCCGAGCAACGCTTTCCTGTGCCGGGTGAGGGGCTAGCCAGAGGCAGCGAGCTCAGGGGCTGGTTGCTGGGGCGCAGGCACTGGCGCAAGTTTCATAGGCCAGAAGCCTGTGGTCTTCAAGGATGAGACAAGTGTGGAGTTTGTGTCTGAGAAAAGGGGGTGTGGTGGCTCTGCCCAGGATGGAGTTTGCATGGGATTCTCCAGGATCCTAGCTCAGGAAGGAGATTATTTTATTGAAACTGAAGTAGAACCTCTCCAATGGGAATAGAAGGTTAGCAAGACTGGTTTACCATCCAAAAATCACCATGATGCCTCACATTGAGTAAAAGGCAAACCATGGGAGGAACCTTTTTTGCAGTACCAGGGATTGAACTCAGGACCCTGCGCTTGCCAGGCAGGTGCTTATTCTACTGAGCTATCTCCCAGGCCCAAGTTTTGAGGATGTGTGTGTGTGTGTGTGTGTGTGTGTGTGTGTGTGACTTCCTGGTGCCTTAAGGGCAGGTCTGGTGCAGCTTCTGGAGCTGGGAATCGAGCTACAGTATTCTGCACCTGACTGAATTTGCCCAAGCAGTGCTTTAAACAACTGAGCTAACCGGCAAAGCCCTGAGACCTTCTTGATAAATACAAAACAGTCACATGGAATTTGGACAAAAACTCTTTAGCAAATTAAAACAGAAGAGGGCTTCCTTTATCTGATAAAGGTTTCTACCTAAAACAATAAATCACATTTCTATATACCAGAAACAATTAGAAAACGAAATTTGTAATAGCATAAAAATCAAATACCTAACAATAAGCCCAGAGGGGGATGCATACAATTTCTACACAGAAAATTACAACACATTACTGAAAGAAATGGTTAAAGGTATAAGCTGTGGAGGGATATACTATGTTCATGGATTGGAATTTTAAACGTATTCTCCAACTTTTTTTTTTCCCATAATTTTATTGAGAAACAAATAGCAATGAGACAGCTTCAAATCAAATTGGTAGGACAGTTTCAATAATGAACACATTACATACATTCTTCCTAGTGGTTAATTGCTGTACAAGATGCGGACGTGATATCCTATTTATAAACACCATTAGAACAAATCCCTCAAAAGAAAAA